TGAATACGAGAAGCTGCTTGATAAGAGTGGATAATAAGGAGATTACACAGGCACCAGCTTGTTTGGAGTTAACCATTCAAATGTTTGGTGTTGTAGGGTTTATTTATAAACACCCACATTCGAGGTTATGAAAACAGGTTGACATTTCGTCAACAAATCTTGTTCAATTTACCGTTTATCCTTGTCTATCTTATTGTCACTGTATAATTCCATGGTTACCGGCGTTTTAAATAATTACGAAGCCACAAGTATTTGCGCAATGTTAATTAGGCAGATTACCTTGAAAAACATTGCTGTCGTATTTCTGATATAGTTTTTTCGAAATTTCTCAGTTTTTAATAACCATAAATTTATTTTACTATTTTTTCTGAACTCCTATAACAGCGCCAGACTACACCTCCAGAGGAATGACGCCAATTTTGAATCACCCTGTATACCTACTTACCATTCGGTTTCAAACAACATCACTCGACTATTGATCCGCTCTTCATTTTCACCAACAATATACAGACAACCCACCTAACTGACAGAAAGTCGGCATGCCTATTCATGGACATCAACAAAGCCTTTGATACTGTATGGCATAAAGGCTTGCTACATAAACTATACAAACTAAACACACCAACATATCTACTCCACACCATAAAAAACTTACTTGAAAACAAACAACTACAAGTACGAATTGACAACACACTCTCTTTTTCTTTCTCCCCTGAACAAGGACTCCCTCAAGGATCCCCGCTCTCGCCGTTTCTCTATAATATATACTGCCATGACATCTGCAATTACAACTTACCAGACAAATACAAAATAGACAAATCAGAGTCCATATTACAATACGCCGACGATCCTGCACTTATAGTACACGACAAAACTACTGAAAAGGCGATTGAAAGACATCAAACACTAACGAACAACACAATGACATGGTTCTATAAATGCAGACTAACACCAAACGCTAGAAAAAATCAATTTTACTCACAAACCACAGACTCAATGCTGACTCCCCTACAATAATTGCAGACGGCCAAACGACAGAACCAAAAAACGACATAAAATACCTAGGAACCACAAACTTAAATTCACTAAACACATACGAAACATCAGGTCAGAAACAATAAGGAGAACAAAACACTTCCGATCACTAACATACAAAGACAAAGGAATCAGCACAAATACCGCCACCAAAATATACAAAGCTATTTGTAGACCTTTGCTAGACTACGGACATATACTCATGACTAACGGAACAGAAAGGACAAAACGATATACACAAACAACAGAACAAATTGCATTAAGACTTATAACACGAATAAGACACGCCCAAAACCCACTACACAACCCTTCCACAACACTACTATACGAACGCACAAACATGACAAGGATCACGGAAAGACTGATACATTTACAGACAAAATGGACAAACAACCCCCATAACTGGACCCTTTGCCTTGCAAGACCAACCAGACAATCACGCTTCCTTTTCCCTACATCAACGCTACTCGAACACCTACAAACGTCACAACTAACTCAATAAACATAAGTAGTTTTATGATACTTAATACAATGTTAATAATAGTTTAGTTTTTAAAATATTAGTTGTTACATATTACAAGGGCAGAAAGACCATGTGGTCGATAGCCTTTTTCGTAGGAAATTAAGATAAGATATTGTAACGGAAATGGCCTGGGGTACTCACGTTTGGAATAGGGGATCGAAATTCATGGCATTTCAGTAAATGGGAGGCCCATTTGGGCCCCATTTACTGTCAAATATGACACTGACAAGCGGGAAGTTTCGCACCTGTTCTGGAGATTTTGAGAACTATCTGGGATACCTGGAGAAAACTATATAAGCGACGACGAGAACTATGGGGGGGAATGAAGTGACAGGAGCGACCGGGTGCAGAAGAGGTTAAACCTCGCGAGTCTAAAGAGCGAGTTTTCCGTGTGTTTTTGTAATTATTTGTGAAGTTGACGGTAATTTGCCGCTACGATGGCGTTGAAAAAGAGATGAACTCGAACGCGCCTAGAGTGGCTGTAGTTAATCAACTCGCCAGACAGTTGCTGCACGTCGAGCATCCCAACTGGGAACGCGCCAAGGAGAAGCCTGAATTCGCAACCGCAATCTCGCCCAAGATTGAGGAACTGGCCGATCAGTTTGATGTTCTGGAACAAACCACCAAGGAGAAGGGTGAACGACTGTTTGACGTTAATCCCGAAGTACTGATTCATAAGACCTGCGACGACATCGACTCATGGATGAACGAACTCGAGAAACAAATCGAAAGCGACGACACGGGGTCGGATTTGGCATCTGCGAATATTTTGATGCAAAAGCGGCAAATGATCGAAACGCAAATGGCCGTCAAGTCGATGAGCTGGAGAAGCAAACCAAACATCTGGTAACGGCCGCACCCGACAAGGACATCAACAAAATCAAGGTGAAAAGAGCAAAGTGGAGGAGCGCTTCCAGCTCATCAAGCAGCCCCTCATCGGAAGACAGCGACTGCTGGACAAGAAGAAGGAAGCCCTCCAGTTCC